ACAAACAAAAAAAACCGTGTGTTTATTAATAAATTTTGCTATGAATAGAATTTAAACTAAGAAAAAATAAGTTTATTTTTGTTTCTAAAATTACATATCAATCTTCGAAATTGAATAGAAAATTTTATTAAATTAACTGTTACGTCATTGCAATTTGTTAATTATTTTGTGTTATTAAGATTCTATCAAGAAACAAAATTAAATACTAGAAATTTTAATTAGTCTTTTTTTTTTAATCTACATATTATATGCAAACTGTAATAAATGTTGAACTCAGACTGTTTAAGTTTCGATGAACGATTTTCAGCATTCATATGAAAAAAAAAAAAAAAGATGTACATCTTTTAAAAAATGTACATCTTCATATTGTTTATTAATTAATTTCGATTTATTGTATATAAAATGAACAGGCTTTTTCTTAAAGTGTCAAATTACCGGAAAACATCCGATGACGAGCATTTGCAGTTACATGTAGTTGGCACGTGAACTTAAATTTTCTTTACCCAAGATATCAAGAAAAAGTTCTATTCTTCTTTATTTCTCATTGTTTATGTTCTGTTCCCAAATTAAGTTAATTTAATTAATTAATTTTCTTTAATGTATTTCCGTCTTTTATATAAATGTGCAGGCATTTTTCTCAAATTGTCAAATGACCGGAAAGCATTCGATGACGAGAGTTAACTTTGAGCACGTGAACTTTATACAAGAGATCTAGATCAAGAAAAAATATCGTTTTTCACCTTCACATTAACATGTTTTACTTTTTAATACAATGTCTTTCTTTTTAATTTTAATATTTCTCGATTTTCGTGTTCAATAGATAAGATAGGATGTGCAGATGTAATGATAAACTTCACAGACGAAATTATAGTTTATATGAATTCAATGCAAAAATTCATATATTTGTGTTTTCTTTGACAAATTCTGTTTCTTTGTGTATTAAGTATTAGCCGCGATCATTTCCTGTGTATAGGGATTAGCAGTGCCAGAGCAGGAAACGACATGCCTTGGGGGTTTCACACCTGTCTTAGAGTACCTTGGGTAACGCTCGCTGGATGTGCTCATCGTTGTCTAGCCATTCAACAACACATTTGATTCATTGTTTCATTATTATTTCATCGATATCATTTTCAGATGCGATATTAGCCTTGGAATTTGTGTCAAATTATTGTTGCTTTTTTTTAAACGGAGTGTATAAAAAGAATAAAAGTAAAAAAAAAAAAACTTTTAAAACAAATTAATGAAGTATTTGATATTAATTAAATCAAATAATGATCCATTACTATGTTATTTCGTGTCTGTTTATATCTGTACCAGTTAGAAGATTGAAAGAGAGAGAGAGAGAGAGAGATAGAGAGAAGAAAAATATCACAATATTAAGGCACGTGCATGATCGTTTTTCCTCCTTTTTGATCAGTTTCTTAAGTCTAGCGAATAAAACTAACGCTGATTTATCAGTTTATTGACCATTTGTCGAATTTGTCTAAGTTTTATTGTTATTTATCGAGAGACTTGTTTATGATCCACTTTCTTCTTTCGTTTAGCATATGTACATGACATGTAATTTGAATTACTTCCCTTTTTGTCGCCAGATTACAACGACAGATTTTGGTGGTAAAATAAAATGTATTTTTGTTATAAAATTTGATTAAGAAAAACACAATATATTAAAATTGTCGAATTATTAAAAATATTTATTTGAAACAAAAAATTTAAAAAGGATTCTGTCTGCAACAAAAACTTTCTTTATTTCATGCATTTCAATTCATGAGCTACACATGGAAAAAAAAAAACGGCTTCGTTTTACAATGTCGTAGGAAAACGCATACAGGTAATACACTCAGGTAACATCCTGTGTATATAGGTAGTATGTACACTAGACAGCGTCGTTCCCTCGGGGCTTCTCATCCGCTTCGAGTAAGCTCCACTCCACACCAAACTTACCTGAGGAAAACCGAACGGTTACACAGACATCTGAAAACTTTAGGCATGGCAACTTGCTGATTAAAATAAGTTAATTTCTGTGTTGTGTGTTCAAATATTTTAAGGGCCCATATTTGTGTTTGTGTTTTATTTGAACCGGAGAAATCTGAAATTTGTTTATGTTCATAAACATGATTTTAGTAATTTTCGAAAAGAGCAGAAAATAGAAATACATTCAAATACTAGCTATGATATTATTGATATTCTGAATAGAAATACCTGTGATTATTTTATTAACAAGAACCCCCCCCCCAAAAAAAATCGTCGATATTTAGTTCATAGTCTTACAGTGCAGCACATAATAATGGAGCAACGGTATTCCTACACTTCGGCGTGTTTTGTTAAAATTTAATTGTAATTATGTATCACTATCTATCATCGTTTTTCATGCTATTATTTATAACAGACATGTATACAGAAGTAACGGTACTTTTCTAAATGAAACCAAATGAAATCTGAAATTTGTTTATGTTCATAAACATGATTTTAGTAATTTTCGAAAAGAGCAGAAAATAGAAATACATTCAAATACTAGCTATATTATTGATATTCTGAATAGAAATACCTGTGATTATTTTATTAACAAGAACCCCCCCCCCCAAAAAAAAAAAATCGTCGATATTTAGTTCATAGTCTTACAGTGCAGCGCATAATAATGGAGCAACGGTATTCCTACACTTTAACAACAATTTTGTTAAAATTTAATTGTAATTATGTATCACTATCTATCATCGTTTTTCATGCTATTATTTATAACAGACATGTATACAGAAGTAACGGTACTTTTCTAAATGAAACCAAATGACTGATATAATCTCGCAGATAAATAAACACATAGTTACATGTAACTGCAACTGCACGGGCTAATTGTGAACACCGGATTACAGTGCATATAAAGAGAAGCGATATCATGGCATTCTTTAAATTTTACTTATACTTTTTTAGCAATTTGACGAACATTTGGGGTGGCATTATTGATTTTGAAAATAAACTTTAAGTGAATATATTCGATAAATTATTCGACTTTATTTTATCCTATACTGTACAAGTATTACTGTTAACAGAAATTTTTGAGAATTAATTAATTTTTAGTGACCATTGGTAAAAAAAAAAAAGAAAGATTTTTTTATTAAACAACTTGATAAAACTTAAAAATGAATTTTTAAAGAATCCATGTAATGGTATAAATCTATTAATATTAATGTGGTAGTAATCCCCCCCCCCCCATTTCGACACGATTAAAAATCGACAATACTTTACAGGTAAGAACATCTAAGCTGAAGAATAACGCTAGCGGGCCCCGCCGCGGTGTAAACACGGTCTCAGGTAGCACCGCGATCAAAACCCGCGACGGTGTAACGCGGAAAGGATTAATACACCGTGGAGGGGACGCGGTCTAATACGGGATCCGCGTTGCCTGTACTGTAATTACAATTATGGCTTCATTATTAGACTTGGAACAGTGCAAAATTTTAACTCAATTGCTATTTATCATTTTATTAATATCATTTGTATTTTGTAAAATTCTGCAGAAATTTGGATGGCTTTTAAATTATGTGGTTGACAAAAGTAATAATGTTAAACCTGCAAAATTTGAACGTTCAAATTCTCAAAATGGCGTAAAAATTGAGGTTAGAATCTATTAAGACAAAATCGGCATTGGTTGAAAAAGGAACATTTTCTGAAAAGGTGGAGCAGAGAGCAGTGATAAAATTCTGCTTATACATCAGAAAAACACCAACAGAGACCCATAAATTCTGTGAACAGTCCAGAAAACATAGTGAAGGAAGCCGTTGGCTTTAGTATTTAATTTAAGTGACATATAAGATTTTCAACAGAAGGAAACAGTTTACAAAATGATATGCACGAAGGAAGACCATCATTTAAAGAAAGCAATGTTGTAAAAGATGAATTTCTTGACTTTGCTTCTGACTGGACTTTTGAGCTTGAATACTCATACTGTTTGTTATCTACAAATATATCACTTGGAACTGACTGATATTTTCTTGATTAGTGAAAAGCTAGGCTACACTTTTTGCAAATCCATTTCTAAGTAAATATGAGTCCTTTTTAAACCAAACTTCCATGGATATTGAACTTGGAATGCACACTAACTAAAAATCAAAATGTAATTGTGAAACACTGATGCCCCTATATGGCAACATTTGCTAAGATTTAACTTTTCTTAAGTGCAGATCAAATATATTCGTACCCAAAGTAAGATCTTCTCACAAGAAATTCTATTGTGAAAGCCCTAGCACCACCTGTTCAAAAGTTACAGCCAAGTTTAAAGTTTTAAAAGTTAGGTCAAACTCCAAGGTCAATAAGTCAAAGTTTTTGGTTTTTAAAGAAAGATCTTGTCTGAAGGATTATATATGTGAAGTATGAAAGCCATGGCCCTAACCATTCAAAAATTATGGCCAAGGTTTAAGTTTTTAAAAGTAGGTCAAACTACAGGGTCATGGTCAAAGGGTTGAAGTTATTGGTATCTAATGAAAAGTCTTGTCTAGAGGATTACATATATAAAATATGAAAGCTTTTTCCCTAACAGTTATTGCCAAGATTAATTTTTTTTTAAAAGTAGGTCAAACTCAAGTTGAATGTCAAAGTTTTTGGTATCCAATGGAAGGTCTTGTCACAAGGATTACATATGTAAAATATGAAAGCTCTAGCCCTAACTGGTCAAAAGTTATAGCCAAGGGTAAAGTTTTTAAAAGTAGGTCAGACTCCAAGGTGAAGGTCAAGTGTCAAACTTGTTGGTATCCAATTTGGTGGTATCCAAAGAAAGATCTTGTCAAAATAAATTTACCTGTGAAATATAAAAGCCATATCCCCATCCAGTCAAAAGTTATGGGCAAGATTAAAGTTTGCGGGCAAACAGCTAGACAGATAGACTGACAGACAGATGGACAGGGCAAAAAATATGTACCCCAGAATCTTCGATTACAGGGGAATAAAAATGTTAATATTTGCCTTACTCATAGATTGCATATTTGTCAAGTGGAGATGTGAAATATTACCTTTGCTTTAATTTCAGGAATTGTCAAAGATAACTATGCCTGTTGTATTTAATGAACCAATCAGCTTTCTACAGAGAATTACAGAGTATATGGAATATTCAGAGCTACTAGAAAAGGCCAGTACATGTGAAGACCCTGTTGATAGGTTAAAGGTATGAATAGAAATAAAATACAGTTAATTAATCTCATTATCTGAAATGCTTTAAGATATAAAGTACAACGGACAATCAATGTTTTAGATAGGAATGCATAGGATTTTTTTTTTTAAATCTGCTACGTACAACAGAAAATCCATGATCAATTGTACATATGTTGAAGCATCCTCAGGTAGTTTAGATTCAAGTTTGTTCAAATCCGTGGTGGTGGTGGATGAAGGGGGGGGGGGGGGGGGTACAAAAGGTGATAAAAGTTTTGCATAGGAATATATGGGAAAAAGAAGCTGATAAAGAAAATGTAGGGCCATAGTTACTAAGTTGAGTTTTGTGACCATTGGTCCTCTTGTTTTCTTTCATTATATAAGTTATTGGGCTATCATGGTTCTCTGAAATAACCGAAAATCGTGGTCCAAGTTGTTCAGTTCCCTTTTTCCATATTTCGGTTGGGGTCTGGTTTATATATATATATATATATATATTTGCATATCCACTGCTCTCTCCCACTATGAACATGTAGTCATCAACTGCATTCATAGCACTGTAGACGCAATTGCTCTATCACACTCGTGTAGTGTAAGCTCTCCTACACTTATGTATTGTGATGAGAAGTATATATATATGAATTGTTTCGTAAAAGGAATAAATATAAGTTTTTAATAATATTTTTTGGGAAAAAAAAGATATTCAGAACCATTTAAAATTGCTGATTTATATCTTTAAAATTTAATTTTGGTCAATGTATTTAATTGTATAATAAAACTTTTTAAAAATTGAAGAGAACTGCCATATTTTTATTTTTTCTTATCGTATTTTTGCATATTTGTACAAAGAACGATAACTCTTCACACTTGGGTGATAAAACATTCATATTCAAAAAGCAAAATTCAAGAACGATTTCAACTCTTAAAAAACAATTAGAAAAAAAATTTAAAAATCATATAGAAAAGCATACTGGAGTTATAATAATTTTTAAAGCATTCTCTTTTTTATCATAAGGTTAAATTACATTATTGATTTTTGTTAGAGGGTTTCAATAACGTTGATCGATGACGTCACATCTGCATCAAAACAAAAATTAAGAGAATGTGACGACGGCGCAGCTTGTATCTGATAAATGTGTTTTAAAAGAGGCTGATACTTTATAAATTGTTTGTGACTTGTTAGAGAATGATCAGGTATACTAATTTTACTAATTTTAAAGCCGTGTGTTTTTCTTTACTGAAGACAACAAGCCACATCCTTATGTAAGCCAGGATTTCCTCTGATATTCTTGACACCATCAAAGAATGCAAATATAAGTAATAAACAACGATTATTTAGTGAACATGGCATTATGAATAGCAATAGCTCTGCTGGCATATTTTCCATGATGCACTAGCGCGCATCATGGAATTTGCCAGCAGAGCAATAGCTATTCATAACGCCATGTTCACTAAATAACGTTGTTTATTTCTTAAGTAAAGACTCCAAAGTGCGATGGTGACGCCAAAGTCCGATGGTCTCGCCAAACCCCGATGGTCTGCGCCAAACCCCGATGGCTCGCTGTCTTTAAGGACTGCAAAGTCCGATGGTCACGCCAAAGTCCGATGGCTCGTTTCCCATGAGACACGCAACGCTAAAATGTGATGGTCTGACACGCCAAAGTCCGATGGTGCGAAGGAACAATAAAAGTTTATGACGTCACAATAGTCTGAAGTCATGACATTGTCCTGCATCCAAAATCCACTGATTTATACAGTATTTGTCCCGCTTACAATTTTACTGATTTTGCTTATTGTTTTCACCCACTAGAGCTATTAGGGTTAGTCCTTGTACATCATTCAACTGATTGGGTTAGTTCTTGAACACCAATGTGTTTCTTCGAACTCACCCAAGAACTTTAATGGTTAGTCCTCGCACATTATTGGACTGATCTGGATTAGTCCTGCATCCATCCAAGATACCTAGCTTATGGTTGTTACACATTTTGCGACTGATAAGTGCTAGTCTCGCACCTATATCCAAAAGATAAGGGTTAGTCTTTGCATTAAATATTTATTTTTATTTATTTTAAACAGTCGGGCCTTGGCATGGGGTGGCATCGCATTTTTGCGCAGTAGTACTATGACGTCATAAACGTTAATTGTTTTTTGCACCATCAGACTTTGGCATGTCAAACCACCGGGGTTAGGCGCAGACCATCGGACTTTGGCGTGACCATCGGACTTTGGAGTCCCATCGCACTTTGGAGTCCTACATATATATATATATATATATACGAATATGTTTTATACAAAAAATGGCATTGAAATCAAAAGAATTTTGACGATAACGGTTATAAATGAACATCACAAGTGAATTATACTTCATTGTATGACAAAACACTTGTCACGAAAAGATAAGATAATTATCAAAACAAGCAAAAATGGTCATTTTGAAGCTAATAGTCAGCCTAATAGTCCTATACACAGATGTCATGACGTTAACATAGATATAAGATTTATTTTAAAGGTGAATGTAACATAACAAAAAAAGAGGATTTTTTATGTTAAATTCATGAAGATAAGGCTTAAAATAGAGGTATTTAACTGAACCAAAAATCCCGAAACCAAACCAAAAATTTACGAAATCGACCCGAAAAATTTTGGAACCGTGACAGCCCTAATGAATTATATAAGTTGTGCCATTGGTGTGGCCAGTTATGATCAGCTGATCCTTTTCTGGACTCAAGTGACATTTTACAGTTGGTGAGACTCTATATCATTACAGGTATCTGCATGTGGTTAATTCATAATTCTCAGGTGACTGTCAAGACTCATGTCTTTCTTGTTTATTTTGTAGTTTATCTCGGCATTTGCAGTGTCTGCTATTTCATCCAACTTTGAACGTTTAGGAAAACCATTCAATCCATTATTAGGAGAAACTTTTGAATTTGATAGGTAAGATGAATTGCTCAATGTTTAATATTGATTTGCATCCTGTGCAAATTTATGTATAAATTTTGCTCAGAATGTATGATGTCAATACATGTGGATTTTTAAAGACCCAGTAAAATAAGAAAGTTTCATGTTTTGTTTTCATAAAATGTATCAAAATTGGTACTGAATCAATAAATTGTTGAATGCATCATAGCCATGTGTTCATGATTGGAAACCCATTGATGATCGTGTCACGTATTGATTGTTCATGGGCAAATTTGCAGAAATATCATCATATGGTCCCTGAAACATTCTCATGCTTTCCCACTATTTATGTAGGGCGATAATATGGACTTTAAGTTTTACTTAGGAAAAATCTTTAAAAATTTCCTTCTAAAAAACAGCAATACCATAACTGGTCAAATTTATACTGAAACATTTTAGGAACCGTAATGTCCCGAGTATTGGCCACAATTTTTTTTTTTTTGTCAGAAAATTGTTCAAAAGGAGGGATACGCTCAATATATAGGAACAAAATTCAACCCCTTTTTAGCTCACCTGAGTCGAAGGCTCAAGTGAGCTTTTCTGATCACATTTTGTCCATCGTCCGTCCGTCCGTCTGTCTGTCGGTCCGTCTGTCTGTCTGTAAACTTTTCACATTTTCGACTTCTTCTCAAGAACCACTGGGCCAATTTTGACCAAACTTGGTGCAAAGCATCCTTGGGTGAAGGGGAATTTAAATTGTGAAAATGAAGGGTCAAGTCCCCTCACAAGGGGAGATAATCAAGAAAAGACAAAAATAGGGTGGGGTCATTAAAAAATCTTCTTCTCAAGAATCACTGGGCCAGGAAAGCTGAAACTTATGTGGAAGCATCCTGGGGTAGTGTAGATTCTAAATTGTTCAAATCATGACCCCCGGGGATAGGACGGGGCCACAATGGGGAATCAAAGTTTTACATAGAAATATATAGGAAAAATCTTTTAAAATCTTCTTCTCAAGAACCAGTGGGCCAGAAAAGCTGAAACTTATGTGGAAGTATCCTAGGGTAGTGTAGATTCTAAATTATAAAAATCATGACCCCCGGGGATAGGGCGGGGCCCCAGTGGGGAATCAAAGTTTTACATAGAAATATATAGAACAAATCTTTAAACATTTTCTTTCCAAGAACCACTGGGCCAGAAAAGCTGAGACTTATATGGAAGCATCCTTGGGTAGTGTAGATGCTAAATTGTAAAAATCATGACCCCTGGGGGTTGGGCGGGGCCACAATGGGGAATCAAAAATTTTACAAAGAAATATATAGGAAAATTCTTTTAAAATCTTCTTCTGAAGAACCAGTGGGCCAGAAAAGCTGAAACTAATGTGGAAGCATCCCTGGGTAGTGCAGATTTTAAATTATTCAAATCATGACCCCCGGGGGGTAGGGTGGGGCCATAATGGGGATCAAAGTTTTACATAGAAATATATAGGAAAAATCTTTGAAAATCTTCTACTCAAGAACCAATGAGACAGAAAAGCTGAAACTTATGTGGAAGCATCCTGGGGAAGTGTAGATTCTAAATTGTTAAAATCATGACCCCCGGGGTAGGGCGGGGTCACAATGGGGAATCATTTTATAGAAATATATAGGAAAAATCTTTGAAAATCTTCTTCTCAAGAACCACTGGGCCAGAAAAGCAGAAAATTATGTGGAAGCATCCTGGGATAGTGTAGATTCTAAATTGTTCTAATCATGACCCCCGGGGGTAGGACGGGGCCACAATGGGAAATCAATTTTTACAATGTTGAATCAAAGCATCCTACGGTAGTGTAGATTTCAAATTGTTTAAATTATGATCAGTTGGGTAGGGTTTGGTCACAATATGTATTACAAGGGGGAAATCTGGTAAAGAACAGAATGTTCAATGCTTCTCAGGTGAGCGATGTGGCCCATGGGCCTCTTGTTTTCAGGTCACTTTCTTGGTGCCGAGGACCATTTTCTGATCCATTTCAATTGATTGCTCTTTGTTACCAATAACGTCAAAGTTACTTTAATTTCAGAAAGTTATATACGTAAATCCTACCCATTGTAGAAATATGCATCTATCTTAAATGTTGAAATAAAGATATTTGTTTCATTTAATAAAACTCTGATAAAAAACGATCTTTGTATATGTTTTATTTCTTTCCCTCCATTTTGAACAACCATCACTTATATCATCAAAGAGATGCATGTAAGACATAGATATATTTATGCCCCCCTTCGAAGAAGGAAGGGCATATTGCTTTGCTGCTTTCTGTCAGTCTGTCGATCTGTTGGTCCATTTAGTTTCCGTTCATTTTCTTCACAACCGTTGCACAAACTGAAATGAAATTTGGTATACAGGTATATCAGATGAATATCTAGGTCTTGTTCTGTTTTGGGTATGATCGCACCATAATTGACAGAGTTATGCCTCTTGGACTTAGAAAAATTCCAATTATTAGCTCACCTGAGCCGAAGGCTCAAGTGAGCTTTTCTGATCACATTTTGTCCGGCGTCCGTCTGTCTGTCTGTCCGTCTGTCCGTCTGTCTGTCTGTCTGTCTAAACTT